AAAAAAACCCTCAAAAATATCATATTGTTTCTTAGTAACGAAGAAACGTGACCACAGCAGACAGAATTTGAAGATGGCGCCTGTGAGTTCCCTCCCCCCGTTGCTTACTCCTTGATTATAATCTCTTCTCCTTGAGTTAGTGGGTGGGACCTATGAATTATTTCTAAAACACATGGAAGGGAAAAAGAAATTTCCAGATGTAATTAAGGTGACGAATCAATTAAGTTTGGAATAACCAAATGGGAGAGCATTTTAGGTGGATATGAGATAATCAGATGAAAGCCCTTGGAAGAAATATCCTTGGTTTAGAAATTCTCCTTGCAGTATAGAGTGAGCAGCTATGGTAAGGAATTCCATATGATAAGAAATAGAAGATGATCTATAGGAACAGTGAGAAGCCTTTGGTGGGCCTCAAGTTTAAAAAAAAAAAACAAAAACAAACCCAAGGCCCTAAGATTCCAAAGAAATTCTGCCAGACACCTGAATACATAGTGTGGAAACAGATTCTTTCCCCTACTCCAGCCTCTAGATCAATGATGGAGAACTTTTTAGAGCTTTCTACAATAGCCATAGCTGGCAAAAGCACACATGCTATAGGTTTGCCACACCACTGCTCTAAATGAAAAACAGCCTGGATGCATTTTAAGGTCCTAGAAAAACAAGAACAATCCAAATCTGAAACTAAAACAAATTATAAACGTGGAAGCAGAAATTAATGATAGTAATTTTTAAAAAAAAGTTCAACAAATCAAAGAGTTGATTGATGTCTGGAGAGGGAAGAGACGAAGGGACAAGATGTAGGCTATAATGAAATCTACAAAAGTTACATTTGGGTCAGGCTGTGAGGAAGTCATTTCTGATGGACAAGTCAGCTTGGTTTTGGTGCAAGCACATCTTTTGGGTACAGTATAACTGACAGAATCAAGGTTGATGCTGGCTGGTGTAAACAACTTATATAACCACGGTTGCCACTGGTACACAGCCACTATTGTATATTTTCCTATAAATGTAGACTGGATAGGCAGACTAGGTCCTTGAGGATTGCCACATGTGTGCACAGGTTTCATGGTTTGAGGTTCTGAAAGGGGAACAATATTGTATAAGATTATTTTATAATGAATCACCTGAACAATCATATATGATGAATACAGTTAATCTGTCCACATCCTAAAGATCAAAGAATCCAGTTGAGGGCCTGGATCTTAACATCCTGCTTGAGTCCAGCTGAAAACCTTGAGCTCATAACAATGCCTCTGGTAAATCCAACTGAATGCCTTGAGCCCATGCCTATTTCATTTCTTATGTAGGCCCACTTCATAGATCTGTGCTGGAAAGGTCGGTGGTAAAAACAAGCCTACGCCAATGGATGAGGGATCTGTGCTAGCAGGCTGAGGGATCTGAACTGGAGCCAGGGAGCAATGCTCAAGGTAAGGACTACAGCTTCCAAAACCATAGCCATCATCAGCAAGAACAGGGTCCTAAGCTCTTCCTCTGACAAGAACAGCCAAGTTCATCAGGAAAGCCAGCATGATGAGGTCCTCCAGGAGAATAGGCCAAGAGAACCAGCAGCTTCCAACAGCTCCCCAGCAGCTTCTCCAACTTTCCCTAATAGCCTCACAACAGCTCCTGCCTCCTATGCTGCTGGCAACAATCCTCATGTGGGCCTCCTACAACCAACACCAATGAGTTCTTCAGCTAGAGGTAACAAGTTGACCATGAGTTGGCAATCCACCACAACAGCTGAGCAGCACATAAGAAAGGCATTTGGGACATTTGCATGACTCTGTTCTTCAGGCTGACTGAATCTCAAGTGAATCTCCCCTGTCGGAACTGATAATATGACAGAGGAGAAGAAATTAAGAAGATCAAGATGTGTTATGTATGTGTACCAATTCCTTCAAGATAAATGTATTTTCTATGTATGATAGACATAGGCTAGTATGCTAATTTCTAACCCACAGAAGATAGGATATAGTTAATTGAGGGTTTTTTTTTTTTAATTAGTACACGTTTGGAACACATGAGTTTTAAATTCAACTTAGAGAATGGGTACATGTATACAACACATCTAGATTCTTTTTTTATCCCTTCTCCCCAACCACCTCCCTAAATCTTTTCCCAATTTTCATTATTATCTTTAGTCCATGTCTAAAACATGTAATGTGAACATTCATTGTGGGCATATGGTACATGTACATGACACATCTTAAACGTATTCCCCCTTCTCCCCTCCTCCTCTTATCCTTGGTCTCCCAGAACCCCCTCTTCCCATTTATAAGAGAGCTCTCTTCCTATTTCCTTTTATCAATCTTTTATTTTGCTTTTAATTTATATTTTGCCTTACTCAAATGAGAGGTACCACATGGTATGTAAGCTTGTGTCTGATTTATTTCACTCAACACTGTATTTTCTACATGCATCCATTTTCCTACAAATGTCTCAAATTTATCCTTTTTAACAGCAGAGTAGTAGTACATTCTGTATGGATACCACATTTTCGTTACCATTTGTCTGTTAATGGATATATTGTTAGCTATTATGAATGGTGCTGCTATAAACAGTGATAATATATGTATGACTGTAACATGTCTTTAGCTCTTCCGGGAAAATACTTAAGAGGAATAACTGAGTCAAATGAATTCCTTATTTTAGTTCTTGGACAAATCTCCATGCAGATTTCTATAGTGGTTGTACCAGTTTGCATTCCCACCAAGACAGTTCTTTTTTCACTACAGTCATACTGTGCCATTACTTGATTTCTTGGTGATTGCCCATTTTTTTCTAGTGTAAGACAAAACCTTAGCATTTTAATTTGCACGTTTCTAATGGTCAAAGATGTTGAAAACTTTTCATAATTGTACTGGCAATTTGAACTACTTCCCAGAAGAATCTATTCATTTCACTTGCCTATTTCCTTCATTAGTATCATACACATTTGCACTATATTTACATTAGTTGTGAAAAGCTGGCACAGGTACACACTGCACCTCATTTCTTTTCCTTTCCTTGGTTCCTCCTATTTATTGACTCTTTTTTTAAACATGTTTTCAGTACATGTTTACACATACTTTAAGGAGTTATTATACATACATAACACATTTTATCTCTTATCCTTTTATTCTCCCCATTTCTTGATTCTTTCCCTTTCATAAAAATCAATTTCTCTCCTTGCTATTATTATTATTATTTTTTTTTTTTTTTTTTTTTTTGAGCTGGGGATTGAACTCAGGCCCTTGTGCTTGCCAGGGAAGCGCTTATTCAACTGAGCTATCTCCCTAGCCCCTTTATTTTTTGTTTACACTTTCAGTGTCTCATACAGTAGAAACCATGTGATATTTAAGCTTGTGTTTCTGCTTTATTTCACTTAATAGTGTGGCCTCAAGGACGTCCATTTCCCTACAAATGACTCAAGTTTATCTTTCTTTATGGTAGAGTAGTAGTCCACTGTGTGTAAATACCACATTATCCACTCATTCTTTGGTGGACATACATAGGCTGTTTCCAAGACTCAGACATTAGGAATTGTGCTGCTATGCATAAACATGGGTATGCATGTATCATTATAACATGAAGTCTTTAATTCTTTCAGGAAGATAACTACAAGGGAACGAGATGGGTCAAATGGGATGTTTAAGTTCAGTTGTTTTACGGAATCTCCAGATTTCCATGGTGGTTTTACTAGTTTACATTCCCAACAACAGTGTAGGAGGTTCTTTTTTCCCCATGTCCTTTCCAACATTGGTTGTTTGATTTCTTGATGATGGCCATTCTTTCAGGGTAAGGTAAAATATCAGTGTTGCTTTAAGTTGCATTTTTCTAATGGCCAGCAATGATGAGCACTTCTTCACGGACCTATTGGTCATCTGTACTTCTTCTGTGAAGTGTCTTCATTTTATGTGTCCATTTTTTGAATGGGTCTCTTGAAGATGGGTTAATTCATTTGTTCTTTATGTATTCTAGATATTAGTCTTCTGTTAGAAGAATGGCTGACAAAACTTTTTTCCGATTTTCTGGCTGTCTTTTCACTCTGTTGGCTTTCTTTTGCCATGAAGAGATTTTTTTATTTGATATGAACCTATTTGTTGATTCTCAGAACTATTTCCTGTATAGTCAGGGTTCTACTGTTCAGAAAGTCTTTGCCAACACTGTTTCAAGTGTTTGACTTATTTTATCTGCCAGCAGGTTAACTAGTTAACTTTAACATTTAGTTTTTTAATCTATTTTTATTTTAGCTGAGCACATAGTGAGAGATACAGGTTCAGCTTCAACCTTCTGCATGTAGATATTCAGTTTTTTCAACACCATCTGTTAAAGAAGGTATCTTTACTCCACTGTGTATGTTTTTGGCCCCTTTGGCAAAGATCAAATAGTTAAATATGTTTGGCACTGTTTCTGCATGTTCTGTTCTGTTCCACTGATCTTCATGTCTGTTTTCATGCCAGTATCATGTTGTTTTTATCACATCAGCTTTGTAATATAACCTCAAGTTCAGGAGTGTGATACCTCCCAGTTTGTCTTTTTTACCCAAGAATGCTTTTACTATTCTGGGTCTCTTTGGTTTTACATGAAATTCGGGACTATTTTCTCTAATTAGATTTTTAAACAAATTGGAATTTTGATTGGAAGTACACTGAACATCAATTTTGGAAATTTGGCCATTTTGACTACATTGGTTCTGCCTCTCCAGTAACAGGGAAATAATATACTTTGTGGCAAATACATTTAATAAACATAGTGCAGATCTGGACATGAATATAGACAATCAAGATGAGGAACACATGACAGAACATGAGCATGGAACTGAGAAGCCTGGTTTGGTGGCACAGGACTGTAATCCCAGCACTTGGGAGGTGGAAGCAGGAGCATCATGCCAAGTTCAAGGCCAGCCTGAACTACATAACAAGACCCTGTCTCAAAAACACCACTAAGAAACACAAAACTTCTAATAAGAAATTTGATCCTTCTGTTGTACATATTATTCAATTCCAATGATATACTTAAAATAATAACTGAAGAAACAAACAATGCTATACTAATAGTTATACAATACAGCTATATGTATACGATAGCTATACTAATGCTATATGATGAGATTTTAGTGCAAAAAAAGGCAAATCTCAGCAAGGCTGAGAATGTTTCACAATTAATGAGATGAAAATTTTTATAGATACATTATTAATTATGGGGATATTACCAGACCTAGACAGTAGACTGTACTGGTCTAAAATAATATATACGCCAACAGACATTTAAAGAATGATATGCAACAAGGCCATTTTTTTACTATTTTGAACTGTTTACATTTCTCTGACAATATCACATGTAGAAGCCAGAATCCCTTGAAGAAAGATTTAAAATATCATGGAAGAAATTATTAGTATATGTGCAAAGATGCAATAAATCCTGGAAAAATGTCACAGCAGTTCAAAGTACAAAATTATGGAAAGAACATCTGCATTTTTGCTAATCCATCAAAGTGGCACAAAAAATATGGAAAAAATACTATATAAAATGTCTGCCTAATGGTTATAGCTATGAATGGACGTCTGTGCCGACAAGTGCAAACTCTCAGATGCATGTACATTCCTATGTTCTTTTACAGTTAGTGGCTGGGCTGGGGAGATAGCTCAGTAGAATAAGTGCTTCCTTGGCAAGCACAAGGCCTGAGTTCAATCCCCAGTTCCACAAAAAAATAAAATTAGTGGCTTATTATTTGAACACCACACATTATATGCACATAGTTATTATTTGAATATATCTCCTACATTAGAACTTTTACAAAAAGAAACTAACTTTCATGGCACTATATGGCCAAATCTAAGATTTTTACCAATACATGCAAAGACAAAGCAAAAATGACACAAAATCATAAACTTTGAAAATTGGTTCTGGTGTAAAACTTGCTACATGGACTGCTAAGAATTCTTTGTATGTTATGCCTTATAAAAATCATACATGTACATTAATTGAAGGAAAACTGATGTCTTTGCTTACAATAATGCAAAGAAAGTGCATCACTAAGTTATTTAGCCTTACAAGTATACAGAACTATATAGTAAATAATGTTCAGCACAGTACCTTTCATAATATAAGCACTGATAAATGTTTTCTATTATTAGTAAAAGTAGCATTATAACCTTGATTTCTTATTAAAGATCTTTCAAGCCAGGAAGATAGCTCAGCAGTCTAAACACCTGCCTGGTAAGCACAAGGACCTGGGTTCAATCCCCAGTACCACATGCTTAGCCAGTCACTGAAAACAAGCTTGGTAGTGCATGCCTGTAATCCCAGTGCTGGGGAGGCTGAGACAGGAGGATCACTACGAGTCTGAGCTGTGTAGTGAGAAAATGTACCAAACAAACAAACAAACAAACAAACAAAGAGGAAAAGAAAAGATAGATAGATTACTTTTAAAGATCTTTCATACAACACTGCAAAAGCATAATAATTTAGAAACTTTGTACATACCAAAGATCATCCCTGAAAAAGGACTACAGGTTTCTCGATTAGCAGATTTGGATAGTTCATTGTCTCGAGCACTAAAAGAGAAAAACAGTATTAATTAATACTTAGATACCTTCAGGAAGCAACAACTGTAAATTATAGACATGGGTTACTGCTTTTCAAAGTACTATAGGCAGTACAATATTTACATGTTTTAAATTTTTATTAGTGTATGTGTACAGTACATGTTTATATTCTTTGTGGGAAGTTGGTACCTGTATGTAATATATCTTAATTCCTTTTTTCATTCCCTTGCCCACCCTTCCCACCCCTGCTGGTCATTTTTTGATCCCCTTCGTGTGTGTGTGTGTGTGTGTGTGTGCACGTAACCTTTTAGGTGGGTGTGGTGGCATATGCTTGTAATCCTAGCACTTGGGAGGCTAAGGCAGGAGGATCTCGAGTTTGAGGTCAGTCTGGGCTACACTAAGAGTTCCAGGTCATCCTGACTATAAAACAAGGCTATAAATAAAACCTTGTTCTCAGCCTGCTTCACTGGTTCTATAGATTAAAACAAAATCCTTTCTCATAAGT